GACGCCCAAAACAACCAGCACGCGTCCAAACACCTGTGTGCAGGGGCCTGGAAGGGTTGGGAGGGTGATGGCTGATGGGGATGGAGCTTCTTTTGGGGTAATGGAAAGTTCTGGAATTCACAGTAGCGATGGTTGCACGAGTCTGTGAATATGACATTCTACATGGGTCAGTTGTACGGTATGTGAATTACACCTCAAAAGAGCTGTTAACAGCAAAAACATTCACAGAAGAAATGCTCCCCACCATTAAAAGCACCCCCCGCCCCCGACCTCAGTAGGAAAACGCGGAGTTCGTAAGATTCTCACACGACGATTCTGCCCTGTTGCCGCTCAGTAACGTTTAACGAAACCCAGACACACAGTCTTGGCAAGAGCTCACCGGACTCCTGCACGGACTGACCCTGAAAAGCGGAGAAAACGCCATACTGTATCGCAAGGTCTACGAGGGCAGTTAGCCTAGAACTTTCCACCAATTCTCTCTCGGATCACACTCTAGGAAAGCCAGCTAGCGGCTAGGTCACAAGCAGCCCCACAGAGAGGCCCATGTGGGGAGGAGCTGAGCCCTCCCGCCAACGGAGGGCGTCGGCATGAAGAGCTCCTCCCACCTGGTCCAGCGTTCAGACGAGGCGGCCCTGGTGGGTCTGTGTCGACCACACCACGGTGTCTCGTGGGAGACGCTGAGCTAGAGCCATGCAGCTAAGTTGCTCCCGGACTCCTGACCCACAGAAATCATGACCTAGTAGACTGTGTTGCTTCCAGCTGCTAAATCTGGGGTAATCTGTTATGCAGCCGTAGCTAACCGATACAGACTTGGCGTTAAGGCTAACAAACCTGCCTGGGAGCACACTGCCTAGGAGAAAAACCCTAGAAATGCCCCTCACCACAGGGCCTGATTCAAGTCCTCACCACAAAGTCACGAAACGAGCTGCACACCCTTGCGAAGCCCCTGGGTGCCAGGCGGACGCGGGCACAGAGCAGCCCGAGCAGCTGTGGCGCGGTGGCACATGCGGGTGCTGGGCTCACATCGCACCCAGGCCTCTGTCCTCACAGGAACCCGCCACAGCCTGCCAGCTGACTTGTCTCACACCAAATCCTGCACACGTGGGGAGGAGCCTGGAATGTGGGCTCGTCTTGTTTGTGAGAAGAGGAAATCCAGCAGAAAAAAAAGGAGCGCCTGGGGGGCCCAGTCAGTCGAGCGTCCAACTTGGGCTCAGGTCAAGATCTCACGGTTCGTGGGTTCGAGCCCCGCGTCGGGCTCTGTGCTGACAGCTCAGACCCTGGAGCTGCTTCAGATTCTGCGTCTCCCTCTCTCTCTGCCCCTCCCCTGCTTGTGCTCTCTGTGTCTCGATAACAAATAAACATTAAAAAAAATTTTTTTTAAGCAGAAAAAAGGAAGGAAAAAAGTTGACAACTATGGCTCCAAAGATCGCAGAATGACCCTTTCAGGGACTGGCCAGCCTCCACTGGCAGCTGTGAGCTGTGTCATTTAAGAAGCACCGATCGCCATAAATGATTCAGAAAATCCAACTTCTTGGACGTGGCCTCCTCCTACTCCTCGGGCCTTCAGGGAAGACGCCAGACGCCGACCGGGAAGGGGGGACTGAGAACAGCTCCGAGGAAGCCTGGATTTAGGAGAGGCCCTTGTCTTGTTACCCAGGGACAGCCCTCCCCCATCCTCCTCCTCCGTCCCAGGAGCCCCAGAATCCCAGGTCTGTGCCCCAGGCCCGGTCTCCCTGTAGGGACCCCCAGCCTGGCGCTGGCCCACGGCAGGAACGTCAGCTTGCTGCGGCAGGGACTGGCCCGCTCTCTCATCACTGAGCGCATCTGGGCGCCCAAATGAAGCAACCAGAGACGTTTTTCCACGTAACACCTGTTTGGCGAACGCTGCTACCTAGGAAAGCTGGCAACGGGCACTCACCTTCACTGGGTCCCCTCCTCTGGGGAGCGCACGCAAACGTCCATGCTAAGTACAAGCACTCACGTCTTCGAGTGCACACCACACAGAGAGCAGTCACCACACCGAGATGACGCCATCACCCAGCTCCCCAGTCGGGTGCTGATGTGAGGCCCCGGCTTCATTCCTCCAGACACCCTGACCCTACTGTCCTCAGCACCACCCAGCACACACCGCGGACAGAGCGCGGGTGTGGGGATCCCCCGCTGTCGTGCTCGGCCCCAGCCCAGCCTCCTCTTACGTCCTGAGGACAAAGCTAAGAACAAGCACCCCTCGAGTCTCACCGCAAGGGATCTGCACAGGGGCGTCTGATGCCCTCCCCCCTCACCGCCTCGACTCGTTCACTCTGCGCGTCCGTCCACACGGCTGGCGGGGGCTCTGTGCTCAGGGCGCGGAGGCAAGGGAAGACCAAGAGGGGGACAAAATGACACGGGGAGCCCGCGGTGGACGCTCTGCGGACGTACTACTGCGACGAACCCACCCGCCAACTCCACTCTCCCGATCCCCATTTCCGACAAGAATGTCGCCCAAGGAGCACCGTCCGCTCCCATCAGGGATCACGGTAGCAGGGCAGACCCCGAGAGGTCCTGGGAGGCACCAGAACCCCCCGGAGGGCTCGTCAAGTACAGATGAGGCCCACCCACAACGTTTCAGAGTCAGGGGTCTGGGGTCTGCGTCTCTAACAAGTTCCCAGATGATGCCGAGGCTGCTGGCTGGGGGACCCACTCTGCGAACCGCAGCCCTAAGGACACAGAAGGCTACGCTCACGCACGCCGTGACGTGGGAATTGCCGTGGACAGGAAGGCGGCTAGTGGACAGAGTTCCCAGAGTGGAGAACAAGAATGAAGGTGGGTGACGGGACACGGCCCAGCTTGGCCGGCAGATGTCTGCCGGAGGGTGAGAAAGGACACGGCAAAATCAACAGGCGTCCCGAAAACTCAGTCCGGGAGGAGGCCAGCAGGGCAGAGAGCACAGGGCCCGGGGGGCCCGGCTGGGGCGCTCGGCCTCATCCATCCGCCTATTCGCCTGCGCACCTGGGGGCCGGGGCTGCGAGCGGTGGTGAGGACGGCAGGCCAGCGCGACACGGCACGTGCGGGGCCCGAGCACCAAGAAGGGGAAGGCTGTCACGTGGAAACGCGTGAATTCACGCAGCAGCGGCAGCAGAGAATCCTGGCAGCCGGGTCCACCATCAGCCCCACACGTCCGCACGCCCCCGGCAAGGGGACAGCAGGGTGGCAACAACAGGTGCCCTCGCTGCAGACTCCAGGAGGGCAGTGGAAGCCAGCCCCGCCAACCATACCTGAGGAGAGGACAGCCCACAGCTGAGGTCTGCACGAGGGTCACAGGCCTCCTAAGAACAGAGCACCGGGCCAAGCCAGGGCCATCGCAGGCAGGGGAGCCAGGCGTGGCCTAGTGAGCTGGGTCTCCAGCCAGCAGACTTCAAAGGGTAAGAAGCCAAATTAGGGGCGCCTGCCTGGGTGGCTCAGTCGGTTAAGCGCCTGACTTCTGCTCAGGTCACGGTCTCATGGTCGGTGAGTTCGCGTCCCGCGTCAGGCTTTCTGCTGTCAGCACAGAGCCCAGTTTCAGTCCTCTGTCCCTCTCTCTCTGCCCTCCCCTATGCGTGCGCGCACGCTCTCTCTCTTTCCCTCTCTCTCAAAAGTAAATAAATGTTATAAAAAATAAAAAATAAAAAAAAAGACGACGACCGCAAACAAAGACACCAACGCAGAAGCACTCTCAGGGCCGCTGGAAAGACAGGTGGAAAGACAGAGAGACTGTAAGGAGCAGAACGTTTGTGTCCCCAAATCCCCATGTTAGGGCCCCGACCCCAGCAGAATGGTCAGGAGACAGGGACTTTGGGAGGTGAGGAGGGTCACGTGAGGTCACGAGGGACGGTGGGACGGACGGTGGATGGGACGGTGGATGGGACCCGCCCCCACCCCCCATGGGATTAGTGCCCTTGTTAAGAGGACGAAGGGACTGGAGTGCTCTGTGTCATGTGACGACAGGGCGAGACGGTGGGGCTGCCGGCCAGAAGTGGGCCTTCCCCAGGCACCAATGCCGCCAGCCGTCATCTTGGCCATGAAAGGCCCCCCACACCCCCCCTCCCGCCACAGGGTTCTATTACTACAGTCCAAGCAAACTAAGACAGAGACCCCCAGGGCACACACAGTAAACAGCCAGTGTTCACAGGGTGACTCGGGGGGAAGAGAGGAGACAAGGAGCAGCCCAGGAGGAGCAGGCCTCTGACCGAAGGCAGGGAGAAGGACACAGGTGGGAACGTGGAAGTCCAACCAAGAGTGCCGGCCGGGAGCGCGGAGTTCCCGCGGCAGCAGCACACAGAGCCGGACATGGCCGCGGACAGCAGTTACTGACGGAATGAGCTTCTGCAGCGGCACCAGGGACCCTGGGGCGGGCGGGGCAGCCCAGCTCTGAACCCAGGTGCGGAGCACCCCGAGCCACCCGCCCACGCCCCGCAGAAAGACGGCCACAGCCAGGAGGGCGGTCCCCTCCACCCCCGAGGACCCGTGTGGAGACAGCCCCGGCCCCCGTAGCAATGAAGAGGGCTGCATGGGTTTAAGATCCGGGTTTACAGCACCGCGCCTCAGCACCGGTCCCCCGCTCCACCGGGCTCTGAAAAGAACCGGGCTCCTTGGAGGGAGGGCTGATTCCAGGGCCAGCGCAGAGAACACACAGGTGAGCCCAAACATCTGGCACAGCAGGCAGCCAAGACGTGTCCCAAAAAGGGGCACAGGCATGCCAAGGGCCCAGGACAAAGCCCGGGGGCGCTCCTGGTGGCCGGTTCTGGAACACGAGTGACAGGGTACTGGCTCACAGACCAGATAGACTGGACTGTGGCCCGGAGACGGCATACACACCCAGGAGCCACATGGAGGCTCAAAGTGCAGAAGCAGGACGCGTGCAGGACCCAAAGCGGATGCAGGAGCAGCTGAAGGGCGGGGGGGGGGGG